TTCGTCTACAGATGCAATATGCCAAAGAATATCACCTACGCACAATCTCCAAGAAGTGGTAAAAAAAGGCAGAAACCAACCCATACAATAGATACCTATAAGTTAACTCCATAAGAAATAATTTTAAAAGTTACTGTGATATTAGGATTTTCCACTCATTTGGTAATAGAACATTATATTGCAAAACATGACACGATGCAGAAGAAAATCAATTTTAAAATCAGAAAAATCCATTGCATATACTGTACTTCATTTTGACAAATTCAATAAATCATAATTTAAATATTAACAGCTGTTGCATTAAAAAGTAGTGTAGAATTATGCATATGGTCGTAATGTAAACAAATCTGAAGAGGCAACTTTAAAGGCTTCTGGGGCAGAGCCCCAAGGGAGTTTACCTCTTTCCTCTTTTGATGGCTCATCTACAGACCAAGACCGAAGACCTTTCTTTAGAGACCCCTACCAAGTTTCTACGCCCACCCGTTCTCTAAAATTAGCTGTGACAAAAACCCCGTTTTCCTCCATAAGAATAACATGGGATGGGAATTTAAAGGCCACGGAGGCAGAGCCCCAAGGGAATTCACCATGTTTCTCTTTTGATGGCTCATCTACAGACCAAGACCTTTCTTTAGACACCTCTACCGAGTTTCTACGCCCAGCCGTTCTCTCAAAATAGCTGTGACAAAGAAAAACAGTTTCAAATTAGTATATAGATACTAGACTAGCAAGATACTGTGGCCTATCTAACAAGACCTTACACAAATAATAGACAAAATATGCACGGAAATCATTTGCAAAGGTAACACTAGAACTTACACAGCTTGTATCCTCCCATGAACAATCCTCTAAAGGCTTCGATGCCACAAGGATATACAGTGTAAATGTAGTTCATGAAACAAATATGTTGTTTTTAAAGAAATTTTGTGGGCAGTGGCAGCGATAAGAGCCCACGGGCCCCCTCGCAAGTTTGTTCACCGGGCTCCCCTCTCCTAATATTCTTTTAAAACATTAACTTATCACACGTATTACCACCTAAACTTGCACTTTAGCTTGGCATGGCATCTCCCAAGGCGTTCTCATCGTCTTCCATGATCGTGGCAAAATAGTGAATACTTCCCGTAGTACAGTACTTCAGGGAGCGACCTGGCGTAGTAGTTAGAGCGTGGGACTTCAGTCCCTGAGGTCCCGGGTTCGATCCCCGCCAAGTCACCAATGGATTTTATCTAAGTGATAATGCCGCAACCCCTAGGTCTAGCCTGAAGTAATGTGAAAAACAATCCCAGGCTCGTGCCTAGCGTCCTAGGACAAAAAAAAAGCTACTCTTGGTGATGGGCAAATAATTTTTTCCGCAATCCCGGTAAAATCCTAGATATATCACTTGCAGAAAAAGAAACCTCATTATCGTCACCCATTGAAACATTTTCATCGTCACCCGCGAGGAAATGTTCTCGTTGATATTCGCGATCGCGCCAAAAGCAAAGGCCTAATTCTTAAATTTTTTTAGGATGATCCTCGCGGAGATACAAGTTTTTACTTTTAATTGGACATTATTTTATTGAGTACTGAGAAAATCGGCTCAAGCTTGATTTTCTGACTTTGTGCTTGATCTCTCAAGCTTGTAGGCCAGGCTCTGCTTGGCTCGAAAATCGACATTATTTAAAAAAAAAAAAACAGTTTCCAAAGCAAACCAATTTTGGACCGTTCCGATTTGGCCCGAGGCCCATAGGTAGGCCTAACTAACATTTTTTACCTGACTCGTAAGTAAACAAATCTAAAGTGTAGCCTAATAGTAAGAAATGAAATGAAATGAAAATCCTTCTTTAGCATCAATGAAAGAATAGAATTACTTATTAGTTAGTGTCTTAGCCACCTAAGACGATTTGATCGTAAACAAATTGTCAAGTTCATTTAGTTGAATCAGCATAGAGGGCCCTCTCTGGTGTGACTCGTCGGGGGGCTAGGGGGATTAACATTAATGTTTTATCCTCCTAGGCCGGGGGCCACATTGGTTCTAAATACGGTCCTTAAAGCCCCTTCACACAGTCCACGAGGACAGTTGATGAAACCTGCATGACTGATGACAATTCTTTTACTTAGGTTGGTAGAGAATTTATATTGATCGATCGGTCAAGTAATAGTGTCAGTTTAGCTGTTGTAAACTACTTGTCCTAGTGCTCTTACTGGTTTTAACAAATTTTTCTCATAAAAAAGTATGTTAATTCTCATACAAATATTGTTATGATAGGGGGCCTGTGTGGCTGAGCCTGTCGCACAATGGCAGGCCCGTGTCCGGGTAAAATTTCCCAAAAGATGCCGGTCAAGGCTCACGGGCCCTCCAGCAACGCTTACGAAGGCTATTGCCGCCACTAGCAGGGAGAGTATAAATGTTTGTATTGCTTTACTTTTATCCATTACTTTACAAACTGAATTGATCTATTCATTCAAGGAGAAATTATAAAAAAGTTATGCACATTAAAAAAAAATAATTAGGGGGAAGGTCTCTCCCAAACCAGAAATGATGAAATAGCCATAAACGAACAAACACAATACCAGATGGGATTGGAGAAAAGAAAGTACTTTTCTCCCTGCGTCCTTTCTGAGACTGGTGTTCTATCTGCCCGCATCAAAATTTAATCATGACAATGATCTGTATTAATGTCCTAGGTCATCTCCCGCTATTGTGGATAAATCCTTAACATCTCCTGCGATTGCGGCAAAACTGTGAGCATCTCGCGTACTTGCGGTAATACCTTTACATTCCCCTGTGGTCACGAAGACCATCGCCTCTCATGAGCGGCAATATCTTGACATTTATTTCCCTTTAATCGTAAAGACATCATTCCTATCCACTGATCGTCGCAATATCTTTACTATCCTCCACGGTTGCAAAGAAAACTTGATCCTATCCCAAGATCGCAACAAAATTAAGATCATTTTCCTCAATCGCATAGATATTACCATGTTGTTGTGACAAACAAAAATTAACCATGAATAGCCAAAATTGTGTTGCAAGTTCTAATAGAATGCATGTATAAAAAAAAAAACTAATTCTACCTAATTATAGAAAAACTACCTATATCAATAACTTAATTAATGGCAACATGTTCTATTAAAATACAAGTGGTGAAATGCACCGCTGTCTCCTCTTCTGGGCACCCCTGGGCTTACATAAAGCTTTCAAAATAGCTTAACTTACCACGTTACCTTAAATAAATAATAAAACTCTTCATCAATTCTGCTTGCAGGCAGTGTTTTGTAAAGTGCAGTTGACTCTTGATAATACTTGGTAACTTCTTTTTGGTGTAGTCTGGAGTCACTTATAATGTCACCAGTAGGCAGTCTGGATATGTCAACCATGACAGTGTAGCCTACAGTGGTACTCCAAAGTAATCCATAAAAAAATAATCCAGGTGTCATCAACATGGAATTTATTGGTACAGTGGTAGTCGAATATTCAACTTTTATGTTATGTCTAAAATGTTTGAGTGCGGCGTATTTGGGCCTAATGTTTTACGATATAATATTTTAACATATTACCTTTGCTTGTCTAAATCCATAGTTTAACATTTTGGCTGGGCTTTAAAACAGTAACTCAGACAAAAAGCTTCAGAGATAATATTGATTAAAGGCATATACTTAGCAACCATTAAAATCCCTTATATTCTGGGATCCCCAATAGTCAAATTATTAGCGTACATTTTTAATAATGAGGCCTACAATATTTTAATACTTGCCTATTGCCTACTATTGAGGTATCCCTAGAGAAACCATATTAGCTTTTGCATATTGAAAATACACTAGCCTAGGCCTTTGTATCTACATTAAATGTATGTAGCCTAACTGTCTGAATACTTCTTTTAGTAACACAGGCTACCAAATACTTTTTCCTAAAGTTAGCCTACCTGACAAAGCGAGCACTGATTAGACTATAGGAGGCAAATTAGCTAATTGCTGCAACTACTTACTTTTGCCGCACTCCAGTATTCCAACGAAACAATACAAAACAGTGTGCTTTTATTATGCAGGTAATACGAGTACGCTTGAAAATAAGTTGTTACCGGTACCTAACTCTTAAAAATACCACGTTTATGATCAGCTGGTGAAAATAAGTTGGCAACTCTTAAAAAAGCCACGATTATAATCAGCTGGTGCAGCGTTTCCTAGCCATTGACTATTGATACTACGACCTAACCTGTTGTTTTATGTTAACATTCTCAAATCAAATCAAATTAGGTACTTTTATTCTAAAAATTAAACAGTACGGTACAATAATAGAACAATACGTTACATGGAATTATTCCCCCGGATAGACTGTTGATCTGTGATCGGGGGAAGAGTTCTTGTAAACCATTGTTAGGCAATATACATTGGTTTTCTATATTTGTTCAATGTTTGGAACACCCTAAAACGCGATTGATTGAAAAACTAATTATTTATATGTTTTATAGTACGGTAACTGTAGGAGAAATATAATATTTAATGCAAGCGTTGCTGCGATCGAGAAAGATTCCACACTTGCCTGCAACTCGTGCGTAAACATTTCTCTCATATGCAGCAAAGTGCCACTTCGCCCACAAGTTACACTAATAGCTATAAGCATTGACTATTGGATACAGAAGTTGTTGTATTAATAGTCAAAGCTATAAGTTACAGTAGGCCCTAAAATACAATTGATCCAAACTAATTTGGGACTCAAGTAACTTGAGGATTAATGAATGTCTGGTAATTTTAAAAACAGGAAACTACCCTGCCATGTAAAATAACTGATTAATTATAAATATTATGGTTGAGTTGTTTAAAGTTTGTGTTCCTTAAATGAATTTTAGGCGTAGGTTAGACCTATATAGATAAAGACCAAGCTGTGTTAGTTTTTGTGTTTTTGGCCAGGCTTCAGATTGAACATATTAACCCAGAACATGGAATGTTTGGTACTGTAGCTATGTTGGATTTCAAAGGACAAATAAAAATAACTTTTACAAACACTCGATTGTTAATTAGTTTTTATTTACCGGTATTTTTAAACGCTTAACCATTAAGTTTTAGCTGCATCGAAAAAAACAACCACTTTTTAAAAATATTAGAAAACAATTGCTTAACTTACAGCACACATGTATGAAAAAAGCGAGAGGTTTATGGTTCGTCCCATTTCTTAAACTCCATACCATCTGGAGGTTTCACTTCAACTTTCTTTTCACCAACTTCATTCCAGTTTGTGCTGAGAACTGTACCACCACTCTCCAAAAATGATTTGTTCATAGCTTTCTTGACTTCATCACTTCCCTCAGTGTAAATTTTCTGGAACAGCTCATTGAGAGCGGCCTCGCCTTCGGCTGCATCGTCCTTTAGTTCATTTTCAACCAATCTATCCCAATTGCGTTTGGTGTGAGTCAGAACCACTTCTTTACTCTCAGGTTTATTTACAGCTTCCAGGTCAGCCCAAGTGTCTTCATTAAGCTTTTTGAGTTTGAGCTCAATTTTGGTCGGCTTAACACGATGGACACATTTGGTTGGTACAATAGCTTTTGACAGGTTTAAAATGAATTTTTCCTCTGAAGGGAGATGAATAGTTACTGTCTTCTCTTCTAAAGATACATTTACTTGGTCTTCACTCAGGTTTTTCACGAGGACGTTAACTGTAACATGTGTATCGGTTTGGTACCAATCATATTTAATTTTAGGTTTTTGTGCTTGAGTTTCTGTTGCATTAGTTGAGTCCACGTCTGATTGACTGTTAGAAGCGCTCATGTTAATAAATTATGTTTATTCACTTTGTGTGTTAACTTACTAATAGATAAGGTAGGCTATATTTTTTGAGGTTATCTCAGCAGGGAGTACTGTAAGTTAAAGGTTTTTGTAACCGGGATCGTCAATAAAGAAATGTTAATCAACAAAAATTGACTGCTAATTTCGTTACTGCAGATTTTATGTGCAAAACTGTACTCACTGTAAACACTTCCTGAAATAAATATTCGTATTCAACTATTAGGCCAACCGTATTTTGTCAGGCAACTAAAACTGAAATCAAGTAAGTTCAGTTAACTAAGAATCTTCAGAAATGAAATTTTTGTAACACTGGCATATAACTTGCTATTTCTTAATTTATCCTCGACCTTATTTATCAATTCCAAAGATCTGCCATAAAAGCTACTTTCAGTTTATCAAACAATCATGATTAGCAGAAACAAAACAACATTGAACGGTACGACGAGTACGGCCATCCATATTTGTCTTGCCCAGTGGTGCCACTAATCCACGGCGGAAGGGAAAAAGGGACAGAGAGAAAAGTCCCGCTCGTGGAGTAGAATTATTAGACCAAATTCATACACCTTCTTTATGTAAATATTACGGAGTATGTTTTATCTATGGTATTACATTAACTTATCTTTGTTCATAAATAACTCCCAGGGTTTGTTATCTTCTTAAGTTTATGAAATAATATAATAAGAAATAAATATAATGAGAAACTATTTTCCAATTACTCTAATTATTACAAAAATATTCATTGCAATGCTTACAAGCTTGCATCGACGCTAGTAGCACCATGGTCAATTTTTTGCGAATTTCCGAAGTTTAAGTTGCTTAGCGAAGGTACCTTCATAGACTAACCAACACAAGTAGACTTCTCATCCCATTGTAAATTTTGAAGCACGATTTTCGTGTCTAGTTCATGTACGTGACACATGGGCGCTAGTGTCGACGAAACTTTGTTTCTATTATTTGAGGGTTAATTTCTTAATTTGTGCTTTACTGTTTGGTTATATAACTAGGGGACAAGTTATTGTTTATGATTAGATCGTATTATTTGGTTAAAAGAGGTTGTAAATGGCTGTAATAACGGGAAACAAATTGTAAACAAAACACGACCTCTATATAAACCGTACAAGAACTAACAATAAAATTGTCTTCAGCTGTTCCATAAGGATGAGAAATCTACTAATGGAGTATGTTATGTTTTATAAGGGAGTATGTTTTACCTATGGTTTTATCTATGGTACCTTGCAGTTGCAGGGCTACTGGCTACTAACTACAGAAATTTTATGTAGTAGCCCTGGGTACCTTGTCAATGGCACGGCACGGTAAGTCCTAGACCCGGGACCGATATACTGGTTTATTTTGATCCCTAGAGACCGCCAAAACACTATTCGTTCAAGTTTTATATATGTATATGTATGTGTGGAAATTGTCCTACTGGTATATAGATTTTAATATATACGTCCTTGAACTTGATTAACTTGACCAATTGACATATGCTGACATAGTTCTGACATTATTAGATAAATCGTCCATATGTCCTATATATCAATTTAAAACTCTAAATTAGTTAAGGCAGGCCCACTTTTATAAACGGACAGACTGGACATATGCCCAGGGGCGCCGGAGGTTTGGGGGCGCTCAACGGGTGCCCCTCAACCATCGCCTGCCCGCACTAGGAAAAAAGGGGGGTACTGCTTTGGGTTTGCCCAGGGCTCCACTGACCCTTAACGTGGCTTTGGGTTAAGGTTAGCTGAAATTAACTAAATAAAATACAGTAATATAAACAAATAATTACACCTGATTTTAATAAGGTAATACATTGAAAGAATGAGAATAACAAACACATAAGTACAGCTGAGGTATTTTTAACATTAGGCATATGAAAAGTTCCCTTTAGAAAGGAATTACGGCCTTAAAGGGCAATATATGAAATTGATAGTTTTGCGCAAGGTTTCTCGTCATGACGAACATTTTAATATGGTTTATGGGGCTGTGACTTTTAGTTTTCTCAAAAGTTCATGGGTACTTTGGGATTTATATATGGATCCAATTAGAAAAATGGAGATTCGCTCAATCTGCAGGTTTGCTGTGGCGGGGGTATTATTTTAGACTTATGTTTTTTTGTATCGTATACCCATACCGTAACACAAACGCAAGGTTTGTTTGCACAATGTTCTTCTCAAATACCCCAACCTCAGCATACCTACAGAATAAGCGAATTTCAATTTGACTGATTGGATTTTAACTAATGTAACTTATGCCCATAAAGAATAATGTATTTCCCATGTAAAAAAATTGATTTAACAAGTAGGTCGACTTTCACACCGCACAGAAACTTCCAAAACGTACACTTCTTCGTTTGCAGTCAGACAAGTAACACTGGCTGAGCACGTGGTTTGGAAGTGTTCACTGCGCATGTGCGAGCCCATGTACGCCACGTACGTTTTAGAAAAATCGCTCTCCGAGCGATTCACACAAAACCATCGCGTACGTACTGGACGTACAGTACGTTCTGTACGCGCGGTGTGAACGAGCTCATATGATAACATGGGCAGCGATTTGTTGAAAAAAAAGTACCAAACGTACAGTACGTCCAGTACGCCGGTGTGAAAAGGCCTTAAAGGTAGTGAATTTCATCATATCAAATTATGAAATTAAATTATAAAACCTAGAGTGTACAGGTCGGAATTTTACCCCTTCATGAGATTGGTTCTAAATGCACGGCCCGGATTTTTACTCCTGGAATCTTACAACCTGTCCAGATATAGGATTTGGTTGATGAGAATAATTGATTTTGTACATAACAGGTTTGTTTATAGAAATCATCGTATTATAACCATAGATTATACATAGTTAAAAAAAATGTTGCTTTGTATATAGTATACAATACTGTATAACCATAGATTTAAAAAGTAGACATGTGTCTACTCCTTTAATCTATGGTATAACTTAAAACCGCATCTCAAAAACCTCTGCGTGTGTCTCGTGAAGTATCCCATCACTCCCCCAGTCCAGGATCGGTAAAAGTGGGATTAGGGATGACCAGGCAGTGATTAGCGGCTATGAGAGGCGGTTTTTGCCTCTTTGGTCCGACAAAAAAATTAATTTCGTTATCGACCCATCGGACATCGAGGAACGGTCATTCGATATAACTCCGACTAACAGTTGTATAAAGAAGTGCGAAAGGCGTCTGGATTAAGTACGATCCGACAAACCTATAATTACGCTACTTTATCACCGCTTGACGCCTACGCGACGCGGCGAGTTCAAACATGGCGCTGGACTATTGTTTTGAGTGATTGCGATTTATCGACTGTATCCATCGGTTTATCGTATCGATCCTCAGGCAGTGAGAACGGAAAACCGCCACAACACCAACTAGCGGTGCATCACACTGTGGGTGCTGGGTGCTCAGTAACGATAGTGTTGATAATAAATTCAAAAGCGATGTCTAAGTTCTGTTTATTTCTGCTACTAGAGTTTTAGTATTTATTACATTTTGAAATCGGACCACCCCTATAGTTTAACCAATTTAATGTCGAGCTAATAAGAGAGAGCTATTGTGTCACTTTGTTGATACCTTCTATTTTTTTTAATTACGAATAAAATGTTTACTTTTCTCTGCGCTATCCTGAGATCTGTTCCGACTACTCTTTCAGGTACGACACAAACAGTGAATAAAAAAATCTAAAACAGATTGAACACAATTACGTACGTGTTGAGAGGGATGGGACATGGGCGAATACACTGAAGGATACTGTGTCGGACTCGTGTGATATCCATTCTAAAAATTAATTTGGAGTAAGGTGGTGGAAGACATTAATGATAGGGTTCTTCGCTTGTTGAACCTATCTCACTGCCGAACTCGTCTGCCACTACTGTCCGCGACATGTTAAGTTGACTGAATGATACGTTCCGTGTTTAGTTTACCTGTGGGGTGACATTTCCAATAACTTTGCTTTTACGAAGCATTTGTGACTCGTAAAGTTGCTTTATGTAATTAGTTAATGTTAATGTTTAATGTCATGAGTTCAGTTGATTTAAACCGAAATATCCCAGATCTTCAGATTTTGCTTTCTTTAATCGTTACACACTGTTGAATATGAACAACACATTTCAAAAACAGGGTAATACCGTGTTAATCAAAGGATCTCCTCAAATATTGTTCTAAGCGCTGTAAGTTGTAATGGCTAACAAGTATATGGGATATGAATTCAATACGCGGAAAGGAGTTAGTTGAATAGATATTAGACAATGCGAGGAACTCATATTGTCGAGATGTTTGGCACCTTCAGGCATACATGAGTGCCAAGTAGTAACCGTACACACACAACACAATCGTCCACAATGCCAATGTACCACTACTGTAGCTCGGTGCTATGAGCAACCGTAGCCATACGTGAAGTTAACCGGTGACAGGATAAACAGTGATGAAGTGTACAAACTCTTGTCTTTAGCTTTACAGTGACACAGGTCATCTACAGTTTTGGAAGTCTAATTGTTCGCCTGTAAGTTTATGGTTTGAATTGTAAAACGGTATAAATGCTATTGCCGTAGGAAAGCACAAAGAATAGTTATTTACAATAGAAATGTTTACGCACAAGCCGCAAGCGAGTGTTTAAAGTTTCTCGAGTACGGCAAAGACACTTTGCACTCGCGTTAATTATATTTTTCCTACAGTCACCCGACAAAGTTGGCTTCCTTGTACAGTACTGTATAGTACAGAAAGCTGCTAATTGCTGCATATTTATACTTTGCCGTACGGTTTATACTTTGTCGTACGGTTTATACTTTACCGCACATCAGGATTCCAACGAAACAACACAAAACAGCGTGGTTCTATTATGCACGTAATCGGTGTACGCTTGGAAATAGGTTGGCAACACTTAAAGATAATAAGACTATGAGCAGCTGATTGACTATTATAAACTACGATTTAACCTGTCATTTCGTGTTTATAGTTTCGTTATTTCTGAACTTTCTGGAATTTTCTTTTAAACGTTTTTAAAACATTCCTACGATCTTAATAAACAAGAAAATGCCTTTAAAGCATTTTTTAGGCGCGGAAACCACTTCAAATTACAAAAACATACGGAACTATATTCTCAAAACGCGGAGCACATTTCTTGCCGGGGAAAAATAGCGGAGTGATACGGACCGGGTACTACTTTCTCTAGGGCACCTATTTGTGTTGCCAGCTGAACCTAAAAACGTGTTGTATAGTGTTTGAAAGACTAATTATTTATATGCTTTAGTGACTGTAGGAAAAATATAATGTGTAACACGAGTGCAAAAGGCCTTTGCTGCACTCAAGATCATTCCACACTCGCCTGCGGCTCGTGCGTAAACATTGCTCTCGTGTGCAGCAAAGTGCCACTTTACCCACTAGTTACACAAATAACTATTTCCTAGAGTTACAATAAAGCATAGAAATAATTAGTCTTTCAAACACTATACGACACGTTTT